GAGCATCATTTGCCCGGTCGCCTACTGCGAGCTGAAAGTGGCTGCAGGCGACCAGAGAGAGGAGGCATTGCGGCTTCCAAGAGGGGTGGTTTTCTCGTTTGTTTCTGGGCACTGGGAGGCAGAGGCCTGTGTGGGCAGGGAAGCTAGTCTGAAGTTTTGCGCATTGTCTTGGAAGGTTTGTGACCTGACCTAGGATCACAAGAAACTCTCTGGGGGTCAGACAGTCCCTCCTTCTAGGCCAGAATGCTCTCCCCGGGCTGCTAGTGAGATCTTTTTAAAACAGCAGGAGTGTGAAGATGCGGCTCTCTGAGCTTCTGCCTTCGCTCCTCGGGTGTCTCCACCAATCAGCCACCTTCTGTGTGACAAGGCAGATCTCCCTGCGATCGCCCCATGAGAACCATCCTCCAAAAGGGCCGTCGCAAGGTGCCAACCCTCAGTGATCGGGCACCGGGGCGCAGCACTGCCCAGAGCACCTGAAATAACGGCTACGCTGTGGAGGCTGTTCCCACCCACCGTGGCCTCTCACCCACGCTCACCCCGCTGGTCCACAGCTGACGCCGCCCTCTCTGCGAGCGAGCTGAGGAAGGCTCAAGGGGCTTTGCCCACCTCCACACAGCCGGCCTCGTCTCTTCCCTGAGCGCATCAGGAGGCGGGGGCCGTGCGTCTCCCTCATCTGAAGGGACAGGGGTGCCCTCCCACCGCGGCTGCATCTGTCCGTTGGCTTCTCTCGCCTTCCCCACTGCCTGCCCCGCTGCCTCTCCGGGGCCACTGTGGGCATGCACCCCTACAAGCCCCACGGCACTGATGCCTTTGGCACCCCGCTGCGGCACACGGCCCCACGAGCTGGAGAGAGGGGCCTGAAGAGGAGGAGTGCGGCCCTCCTGCCGCCCCAGAGATGCGTCCCCGAAAGCAGACTGGAGGATTTCCTGACCAGCCACGCGATCGGCCGCCTCGCCAGCCCTTTTGTAAGATGCAGGTAAAACGAGGGGGAAGTGGACGATGCGGCTCGGCCGGAGGAAGGACGCGGCCTTCCCTCTGCTGAGGGGAAATGGGGGAAGCAGTTCTGGGGGTGTAAAGGATGTAGGGCAGTTGGACTGACGGGAGTCTTTTCTCCCCCGTTCTGGGGAGGGAGCATGAGCGCACCTCTCAGAGCCTGACTTCTCCAGGGTCCCACAGCCTGGGTTCCCCACTGAGGCGCTGAGCTGGACTCAGCCTGGGGAAGGCTGCCTCACCCCCACAGCAGCTCTTCCGGTTTCAGGGTGCCAGCCCTGCCTGGCAGCACCGAACTTCGCATCTCCTGGAATTCCTTCTGGGGGTTTTCCTCCCAAAACCCTGTTCTGAGGACCGGGACTGAAAGCCAAGGGAATCAGGCTCTGCCTCTGATCAGGAAGGACTGGAGGAGGTTGGCCTTTGGGGTCCTTCTCTTTGCGCCCTAAGGCTCGGCTGCAGCTGCAAACTTGAATGAATTAATACTAAGCTGGGCTCCCGTTTACATTCCTGTCACCCGCAATCCACCGCTCCTGCAGCCTCTTAGCAATTTAAACCTTGGCTAGCTACAGATCCACCAAGAACTTCTGGAATATTTGTTTCCTGCTCATTCTTTACAGCGGCCCCGCTTTTTAAGCTGGACTCATTTTTGTCCTCTCCAGTGGAGGCAGCTGCATGGCTTGTCTGGGCTGTTATTTTGTTTATTTATTATACAAACTCAAGGCAACTTACATAATCCCCTTCCTCCTCTCAATCTTATCCCCACAACAACCACCCTGTGAGGTAGGCTGGGCCGAGGTCTGTGCCTGGATCAAAGTCACCCACTGAGTCCCATGGCTGAGAGGGGACTAGAACCCGGATCTCCCGAGTCGCAGCCACCATGTTGCACGGGCTTTCGCCAGTCTGGGTTCGTATTGAACTTTCCCAAAACAGCCTAGTGAAGGAATGCCAATCTGGCACCAGGCCTGGGTGGCTGGGAGCACAAAGCCAACATTTCTGGGTCTTGCCCGTGAGCCTGGGAAAGCTTTCTCTCTGAAGCCCCGGAAAGCGGCTACCTGTCCGTCCGTGCACTGAAGGAGGGCTGGGAAAGGTCTCGGGGCTCACATGCCATCTGCAGGCAGGGCCAAATGTAACTATGAGCCATTTTAGGCCTACTCTTGGCACAGGTAAGCAGGAATGAATTGCTCAGCAGCGTCCCCCCAGCAGCTTCTGAGCTCTTATCTCCAAGCTGCTATTTGGAGATAAGAGCTCTTCCCCTGTGGGAAAGGAGGGAGACTAGGGAAGAAGCTGGCAGGCTGGGTGCAGGCACCTACCCCATGCAGGCGGTAAACCATACTGAGCTAGGCAAACCCGTGGTCCAGCTTGGGTAAGGCCGCTCCTGGTTTTTCTGGAGGTATTGGGGCATGTGGTGCCAGCCATGAGCAAACCTAGAGCTTTAGGGGGATTCCACACCAGGGAGTGGGGTCCAGCCTAGTTTTGGTCAGTTCTGGAGAGCATCTGGGGAATTCAGCCTCGCCTTTGCCTCTGTTGGTGGCCTGCACGAGAAAGGGGTTGCGTCGCCTTGCACAGAACGGCTGGGCCATCTCCCAGCCAGCGTCTTCTGTTGTTCTCATGCTTTTCGGGCCAACTTTAGAGAGGCTTTTAAAAATCCAGGCCGAATCGCAGCACCTGAGGCCTGAGCGGTGCTCCTCTGGGGGTCCCCTTGCCCCGGTCCTTCCCCCGCAGCACCTCCTGCCCATGACAGGGTCTCCTGTTCCCGGGGCTGAGATCCACAGCTGCTCATGGCCCCATAAAGACGTTCCCCTTCCCGCAAAAGTGGGGAGGATTTCCAGACTGATTCCTCTCCCCCTCGTGATGAATGGATGGTTTCGCTTTACGCTGTTTCCAGCCGGCAGGGATGGGTAATATTTATTTATTTATTTATTTATTTATTAAAACATTTATATGCCGCCCCATTCGCCAAAGCCTCGGGGCGGCTCACAACATGAAGAAAAATACAATAGTAACAATATAAAAATAACAATATAAAATAAATAACAATATAAAAGAGTAATAGAGTGCTACACGATGGCGAAGGCACTTGAGGTTGATGTTCAGAAGCATTTTAGTTCCTCTTGCAATGAATGACCTCCCCTGGCACTGAGGGGGCAGGTACGGCAGCCAGCGGGGCACTTCGTAGGCTCAGCGCTTTTGGAATCGGGGACATCTTCTTCTTCACGGGCTGCCAAGCAGTTCCTTTGGAGGACCGCTTCAGCCACGTTGTCTTAGATGGCCATGAAGATGTCTTCCGTTGCTGGAAGGCCTTAGCAAGCAGCACCATCTCCCTGTGTTTCTTCGGACATGGAAAAAAGACTTTTCTCTCTGTGTGTGGAAAAAGAGACTAACACTACATTGCCTTTACTGTTGTTCTTTTGCGCAGAGCAGACAGTTTTCCCACCCCTGGCTTCCTGAGGAGCCATTTTATTTATTTAGATCCCCCCCCCCGCCCCCGCATCTCAGGGCTTTCAAGAGGCTTTGTTGTGGTAATTCCTGCAACTAGAAAAGCTAAATGGAGAGTATTTACCTGAAGCTTCCAGGCTTTTGCGCAACTGATTCTGTTTCTTTGCTCTCAGGGGCAAGAGAGGGAATTTCATGGCAGGCCTCCTCCTGCCTGAAACCTATGGGTTTGCCAGGCACTGCCTCTGGAAGCCCAGTCTAGCAATCCTGAGGACTAGAAACTTACTTTGAAAAACAAACTGCAATAAAGTTACCCGAGTGGTGGAAAATGGGCAAACAGAAGAACGGATACAGCCCTCAGAGTAAGCATTAAACTGCACATAAAATTGGAATCGTGCTGTTAGGCGATCACAGGCAGAAAGCGCAACCAGTCCGTTTCCACTCCAGGAAAAGCCAGTTTAACTTCTGCCTGTCCTGCCACTGATGGATGAACTGGGCATGGGCACGGCCGGATGTGGGGTGGGGGGGGCTCCATGCCCCCCGCACCACCCAGCAGGTACCAGGGCCTCTGTGCCGTCCCCTGCCGCCTGCCGTTCAGCACCCCAAGAGAACACACGAAGCGACGCTGGTGTGGCCTGGCATTCATACCTGAGCACTGGGTGGGGGAGAACAGGGAAGGGAAGCGGCATTTTGGGCCTGGAAACTCTCCCTCGAGGAAAGAAAGGCCACCAAAAGGCAGTTCTGCATTTCTTGGGTTCCTAGTGCTGCCCAGCTTCCTCCAACCTGGTATCCTGCAGAGGGGTTGGTGCTGGCTGGGAATGATGGGAACTGCAGCCCGAGGCATCCTGAGGGCGCCGTTAGGCAAAGCAGTCTTAGCTGATCCAAAACTGGCAGGGGGGAAACCGAGGTTCCCAGCTAAGCTGCGGGACGCTCTTTACCAGTCCAGTCCCCGCACCCCCAACTTGCCTGCCTCGCTTTATTCATCCTCACCGCTTTCGTATCCCCCCCATTCGGTGCAGCACCCCTGTCCTTCGAGAATACTGTCAGTCTGGCTATCCCCCCCCCCCCCCCCCCCCCCCCCGCACCGCGTCCTCGGTCCTAAACGGCTATTTCCCCAAATCCGCCCCCTCTCCCAGCCCCCGCGCCTCGCAGATGGCTCTTAACTCCCCTCGTCGCTCTTTGGAGGGATTACTGGAAAGCGGAGAGTGCAGAAGCGGGGGGGATACGCGCCCCCTCTAAAAGCTGTCTGCGGCTCCGCCACCCCTTCGCGGGGGCTGTGGCAGAGCTGGGGGGGGGGGCGGCGGCGGCTCCCCCTCCCTGCCGGCATCCCTCTTCCCGGCGCCCCCCCCCAAAGAGGCCGGGGGGCGGCGCCTGCCATGCAAATGAGGCCCGGCTGAGCCGAGGAGCGGGGCGCCCCGCATCCAGACCGAGGCTGCCGAGGGCGCCTTCGCCTCCCTTGCCCGGCGGACCCCCACCCGCCGCGCGCAGCCCCTGCACCCCCGGGAGCGGGCGGGGGCGCCGGAGCCGGACGCCCAAGCCGGGGCCTGCGGGGTCGTGGCCCCGGGCGCCCGGGAGCCATGCAGGTGTCCATCGCTTGCACGGAGCAGAACCTGCGGAGCCGCAGCAGCGACGACCGGCTGTGCGGCGGGGGGGGCCGGGGCCAGGGCGCGGGGGGGCAGGGCAACGGGGGCTACCAGCCCCCCGGCAAGGGCCCCCGGCTGGGCATGGGGCTCCGGGCGCCCGGGCAGAACCTGCCGCACATCGCCTTCCTCCTGCGGGAGTCCACCGGCCGCTCCACCGGCATGAACTACAGGTAGGGGGCGGGGGGCGGCCGTCGCCTGGGGGGCTGCGGCAGGGGGGCGCGGGTTGGGGCCCGCTTGGCGCGGCGCGGGCCAGTGGGGGGGCGCCGGCGCGGGGCGCTACAGGGGCGGGGGGGTCCTCGGGGGGCGCCTGGGGCAGAACGAGCGGCGGAGGTGTCTGGCGTGCGGCCTAAAGGAGGCTCAGAGGCTGAAGCTGCGGGGGCGCGGGGTTAGGGGGCCGGCGCGGGAATGGGCGCCCGAGCGGGTGGGGCACAGCCGTAGGAAGGAGTCCCATTCCGGGGCCCGGGAGGGCTGGCGTGGGTGGGACGGGAGAAGTGGGGGTGCAGAAAGCAGGTTGCCTCGTGCTGGAAGCGGGGGGGGGGGCAGGCTCTGCTTCGCAAGCGGCAGGCTGGACCCGTCTCGGGGGGCCTGGCTCCAGATGCCTTTGGACGGGGGGGGGGGGGATGCGAGCGCCGCGTTTGGCTCGTCCTGCGCTTTGGGAAAGCTCGGAGGAGCCGGTCCAGGGACCCCTGCGGAGGCGCAGGGTGCCGGAGGGGCAGCCCGCGGAGGGCAGCGGGAGAAGGGGAGCCGCGGGGGAGGCAGCCCAGCGCTCGACTGCGGCGAGGGGCAGAGCGAAGAGGGCCCCCTCCCGCGATCCCCCCCCCCCCGCACGGTGGAAAGCAGGACTCAGGTTCTCGCCCAAGCGCTGGGGGCCGTGGGGCGATGCTGCGGCATGGGGTGCTCGTGGATGGCAGGGAAGAAAAGCTTTCCCGGGACCCCAAAGCTGGGGGAAGGTGGAACATCTACGGAAGTACTTCTGGGGGGGTCTCAGGCAGCCTGTTTTGCACACGGGCTGCTACAGGGTCCCAGGGACCCCCCCCCCCAACTCAACCCCCGGGGGCATGCACGCTCGCCTGCCTTCCCGCACCCGCCTTTGAGGCTGTGCAACCCTCCAACTTCGTAGCCCGCATTTCAGCTCAAGTTGGATCGATGCTGCCAACCCGAAAGTCCGGAGGGGAACGTGAGGGGGCAGAGTCTGGGGCAGGCGGGCCTGTGGTGCTCGGATCCTGCGTCCCTTGGGTGGGGCGAAGCCTGCGGGACCCGCAAGTTCTTTGAAAGGGAATGTGGATTTCGACCGAGCAACTGGGGAGAGGTGGAGCACGGCCGGGGCGGGGGGGGGGGGACTCGAAAAGCCAGGGAGCAGCGGGGCCTCCAGACCTCACGGGGAAGTGAGCCTGCACCCCGGGCTTCACGGAGAGGGAGGATGCCGGCCCCCTCCAACGGGCCTGTCCCTGTCCGTGGTGTTGCGGCGCGAGTGTTGCTCCGAAGAAAGCATCCACTGTTGGGCAGTGTGGGGACCCGCAAATGCGCAACATGGGTCTCCACGCCTGCGTGCTAGTGTGGGTTGGGGCTCGCATGTGGGAATCCTCCCGCACGTGGGAAGGGCTGCAGGGCCCAGGAGGGCTGCTGGGAAGGGGCCGCTGCGGGGCCCGGATCCTGGCTCCTCTGCCAGCCCGTGCACGGTCAGATGCGTAAAACCCGGGCGGGGGGAGGAGGCAAGGGGGCCAGGGGTTCCTGGGGTGGGGGGGATTCCGGGGGGGGGGAAGGGGCACGGAGCCAGCACATGAGACCTTGTGGGAGAAGTCCGGTGAGTCGGAGTGCTGTGGGCTGGGCGGGCGGCCAGGGCTGCCGGGCGCGATTCCCCTGGTGCACGCGAGTGGGATTGTTGCTGGAGCTGGCCGGCCTCCAAACCGCCCCGCAGATCTCAGTTGCTGCTCTGCGTCTCCTCCGGCTCAGGTTCCCTCGCCCGGCCCGGCCGGCACCGCTGCCTGACCACACAGTTCAGTTCACGGCGGGAGGCCGCAAGCTCTCTGCGGGAGGGCCAGGTTGGGTTTTGTGGGATGTTGAAAGGGAAGCAGGGGGCTGCCCAGGGCAAGGTGTGGGGAGACCTGGGGGGCAGGGGAAGGTCACCCAGCCTGGCAGAAGAAGGCCGCCCAAAGTGTAAGGACAGATCCAGCCGCTGGGCTGTGGGTCGGCTCCAGATGTTTTCTGACCTCCTTAATCATCACAGTGTAGAGGAACGCGATCTTCCGAATGCACGGCTGGTGCGCGACGTTTACATCCCTTCAAAACCATATTCTGAGGAAATGTCTTTTTCCCCCCCAGAGGGGTGGTGTGGGGAGAATCGGACATGCAAAGACTCAGTGCCCCGTCCCTCGACAATTCCTGCACCAGCATACGGGCCTCACGCCACACCAGTCCTTGAATGCTGGAAATGAAACGGCCATCCAAGTTACTGCGTCAGGCTGGTGGGGCAGTGCCCCGTTAGAGCGGGGCTCACTTGGTGCTGGGAGGCACCAAACCTCCTTGCCAGTGGAGACCCCTGAGCATGTGCAGAGTGCTTTTGTGCCCCATCAAGTTGTCACGACCAACGGCTTTCCATAGGCAGACTTCCCAGAATTTAGGTGTCTTTTCCAGCAGCCGCTGTGACTGTGATGTTGCAGTCCCATCATGTTCCCCTACTGTGTGCAAAGGTGGATGGGGTGGGAAACAGCCCTCCCAGCCCAGCTCAGACAGAACCTGCAGAATTTGCAAAAAAATCCTAATTAAATAGGAGCATGACTCCAGAGAGACGTGTTCTTGTGCGAGCAAGACATTTCCTTGTGCAAGCTGTGTTTCCTTCAACTGCACCCCATAACTGACGGCCTCGGTCAATTCCTTTTGCAACCCATTTCCTGCTGAGGGTTCAGACTGCTTGGGGCAGTTGGGTTGAGTTGGCAGGAGGCTGCGGGGAAATTTCGCTGGGCAGCCCTGCCAGAGGGGGCCTGCGGGAGGGAGTTAAGCTGGGGAGGCTTCCGGCATTAAGATCCACGGTATTCCTGCCACTCTAAAGGACTCTGGCGCGCCCGCAGCTGGAGTATTGCGTCCAGTTCTGGGTCCCTCGTTACAAGAGGGATACAGCCAGGTTGGAGTCAGTGCAGCGAAGGGCCACAAGGTTGGTGGCCGGTTTGCAGGGGAAGCCATAGGAAGAGAGGCTGAGGGAGCTGGGTCTTTTCAGCCTTGAGAGGAGGAGACTCTGAGGGGACCTGTTCGCGACATGCTGGTACGTGAGGGGGTGCCATGCAGAGGTGGGTCATGACCTTTCCCCCCTGCAGTGGAGGGCAGGATGTGTTCCAATGGAGCACAGCTCAGGGAACCAAGGTTTCGGTTTGGAAGCCAAGAAGTCCTTCCTGACGGTTAGGCATGGAAAGGCTTCCATGGGTGGTGGCTGAAGCCCCATCAGTGAGGGTGTTCAAGGACAGGCTGGACATGCACATGGTGGGCATGTCGTGAGCAGAGCCAGCTGGAGCCGGGGGTCAGACTAGATGGCCCGGGAGGCCCCTTCTGACTCGCTCTGTTTCTACGATGGGTTCAGGAAGAGGATCCGCATCCCATAATTTTTAATTGAAGATTGCTGCTGATTGGGTGATATTGTTTTGGGCCACTGAAGCTAGGTTGGGATGTGGGGGGGGCAGAGATTGTGTTTCTGGCCCCTCTTCCACCTCTGCCTGTTTTGCTCATGCCCCATGGTTTAATTATGAGGCCAGGTCGTGACCCATATCAAAGCAGCAGCTGGTGCTCGCGGGACAGTGACTCATATCACCTGGTGGCACAGTGGGTAGACCTGCCTCGCTCTCTCTCGCCCATCTGCACCCCAAAACTGCCACCCTCGTTCTGCTCCTGTGCTTTATAAAGGGGTTGGATGCACAGAAAGGAAGCAGATGAGCCGTCCTTTCTGGTGCAGAGCTCCACATCAGAAGCGCTCCTCAAAGGTGTCTTAATTTTAAAACGTTCGTGGAATTTAAGTCAGTTCCTTAAGCTGCAGCATAAGGAACTTTCCTTTGCTTCTCTGCCGGAAAGCTGGTTATGTGAATGCACGCAGAAGCCACTGGCTTAGCTGCTGTTCACCTTTTTAACCTGCACTTCTGGCGCGGAACCGAGCATCTGCTCCTCTCCCCTCCACTCACCTGGTTTTATCTTCACAACAAGCCTGCGAAACAGGTTCGGCTTGGACAGGGCACAGCTCGCCCCAGGCACCTGAGGGATGCTTCCGGCACAGGTGAGGTGTGAACTCCTCCCTACAGTCCTTACCTGACTTTTGGGCCAGAAATCTTCCCCTGAGAGGTCAGACTGAGGTGGGAAGGCCTTTAGGGAAGAAGGCAGAACAGAATTGGGGCGCTGAAGGTCCTTTTCTGGAGAAAGTTTGGTGGATTTAGTTACATTTTATTTAAAACAATTGAGACCTTTGAATCGTGGTGCTGGAGAAGACTTCTGAGAGTCCCTCCCGCGAACCGTGAAGAGGTCAAACCAGTCAGTCTTAGAGGAGATCAACCCTGACTGCTCTTTAGATGGCCAGGTGCTGAAGGTGAAGCTCGAATGCTTTGGCCACCTAATGAGAAGGAAGGACTCCCTGGAGAAGAGCCTGATGCTGGGAACAGTTGAGGGCAAAAGGGGATGATGGAGGTTGAGGTGGCTGGATGGGGTCTCTGGGGCAGTGGGTGTGGGCTTGGGTGGACTCCGAGGGATGGGGAAGGACAGGAGAGCCTGGAGGAATGTCATCCACGGAGTCATGAAGGGTCGGGCACGACTTTGCGACTAAACAACCATTTAAAACAAGGGTGATGTTGAGGGTGCGGAAAACCCAGCCTTCCATGTGTGGCAACAGGGTATGTTCTGGCCGCCTCAGCACGGAAGGAAGCGCACTTCGCACGTGCTCAGTGGCCCCACCAGTTGCGTTTGTTCACGTATTCTGGGATGGAGCGCTGGTGGTTTGGGAATCGTTTCCCATCATCTGCCGTGGATGCGTGTGCAAGGAAGTGGCTCGGGGGCTTTTGGTTCCGTCCCAGAACTGCCGCAGAGGTGGCCGAAAGACGCCGCTTCAGAAATGGCTCTCCTCTCTCTCCCAGCCCCCCACCCTGCTTTGCTCCAAAGCCCCCCCCCATCTTCCTCGCCCCATTATCTCAGTTGCAGAAGTTCCCCGTCATCGGCAGCACTGACCCCGTTTCTGCCTGCCTTCTATTTTTATCACCATCCTGCTCACAGCGCAGGCCGCACTCTAATGAAACCGCGAGCCACGCGCTGGGCGGGCAGCAGCGCTAATGAGCACGGGGTTGGGGGGGAGTGAGGCCCCGGGAGGGAGACGGACGCCTCCAAGGGCGCCCCAGTTGCATGGGAAGGGCGGGTGTTCAAGAGAGGACCCAGAAGTCCTGGCTGTGTTGACTCGGGGGTTCAAACCCCCTGACAGGTTTGGTGGGGCATTCTTGGGACTCCAGAAGTGGTGGCTCCAGGCTCGGCCGCTGTGGCTGAAGTGTGGGCCTCCCCTGTGGCCAGCACAAGCCGGCTGGGGGCTTGAGCACGCAAATCCAAGCACCCGAGGTTGCAGGAAGAGGCCCCCGGGGAAGCGCGGCTCCGCTCACCCCGTGCTCCAGCTCTGTTTCTGCGGCACAGGGTAAAATGAAGCCATTTTCTTGGCTGAACGGCAGAGGCTCCCGGCTGTGCTGCAAAGCCCCGGAGGCTCCATCCACCATCCTGGGGCCCAAATCTTCCCCTCTGGGGTGCTCTCCTGTCCTCCAGCCCCACGGGTTTCCTCAGCCACCAGGCCTTCGCTGGCTTCTGGCTCCAGTCCTGCCTTCCCAGCCCAAAAGGCTAGCGTGTCCTTCCCAGGGCTCCGCCTCGAGATGCAGGGTGCGAGGCGAGCGGAGGCAGGAAAAGGCCGCGTCCCACATGCCTCGAATCGCCTCCGGAAGCCACAGCACACCGGCACTGCTGCTCTTCTGGCCCCGCCCCTTTGCCTTGGCCCCTCCCACCTCTGGATGCGGCCCGTGAGGTTCTCTGGCCAGCGGGCAGGCGGGGGTTCTGCACCCTTGCGGCACTGCCTCTCGGTCACCGAGGCGAAGGCCCCTGGGGGAAAGGCCGCGCCCCTGGCTGTTTCCTGCCCCAAGCAGCATGTGGCGGGGCGCAGCCCTTGGGTCTTGGTGGCTGCGGTCCCCCGACATTCTGGAGTGCCCACCGGTGCAGGGCCGCCTGAACAGCACGATGGGCCCCGGGCAAAGCAGTGTCCTGGACCCCTATGACGACGACTGTTAATTTTGGAAGTTTTCCCATTTTCCAAGGGTTAACATACACAGATTAGTATGGGCCCATCCGGCCCGTGCGTTCAGAGGGCCCTGCACCAATGCAATCCGGTTTTGCCTCTTGCCTTTTCTCTCTCCTCAGGAATCTTGGCAAATCGGGCCTCCGTGTTTCGTGCCTCGGCCTCGGTGAGTCTCCGGAAGAAAAACCATGTGGGGACGGCGGGAGGAAGGCGGGGCATCGAGGGGGGACTGGCGCTGCAGGAGGGGTATTTTGCGCATGCCCAGAGCTGCCCATGGCCGGTAGCCGCCCCAGTCGGGATGGGGCCCATCCCAGTGTCCCTGGAGCGCCGCTGGGTCGAGTGCATCGCCATGGCCTCGTCTCAAGGTGTGCTCTCTCCCCCGCAGGTACCTGGGTGACATTTGGGTCCCAAATCTCCGACGAGGTAAGTGCCAGCCCACCGCTCTCTCTTCCTCGCCGAAGGCCCCTCTGGTCTCCAAATGCCGCGTCCGTGTACGTGCCCTGGCCCTCTTGCCCCCTCGAGCCCCGGGGGTCTCATTGTGGGGCGATCGCTAAGCTCAGGTCCCTCTCCCCTGGGCGCCTGGAGCAGGGCCACAGCCCACGCAAGCCCTCGGAGTCTGTATCAGGGGCTGGCCGGGGTTCCAGCCCCTTCTCGTGCGTGACAGCCACATAGCGTTTGCCACACCAAGAGGGGACGAGGGGTCCGTGTGGCGCTGGGGTCGAGTGTCAGGCGGGGCCACAGGAGAGCTCAGCTGTGAAGTTCACTTGGGGCAGCCACGGGCTTGCCTACCTCGCAGGGTTGTTGCGAAGGCGAAAGGCATTACGTCTCCATATGAGCGAGCCTTCCCCAGCCTGGTGCTCTCCAGATGTTTTGGGCCACCACCCCAGCATTCCTGACCCCTGGACATTCTGGCTGAGGATGATGGGAGTTGATGTACATCTGGAAGGCATGAAGTTGTAGAAGGCTGTTGGGGACCAGTGGTATGCAAAACTGAACCGACTATGGAGAACGGCGGTGCCTCAAGTAACTCACAAATTCGGTGCCTAAAAGGTGCCTCACCAAGGCACAGATTCCTCTTGGGGAAGGAACCAGGAAACTGGCATCAGACCAGAGATGGGGATTCCAGAAGCGAAGAGGGTGGAGCTCTTCCTGTCTCTGTGCAAGGCAAAGCTGCTTTTGCTTCATTTCTCTCCATGTGGCTCCCAGTGAGGACAGGGGGAAGGTGAGCAACCCCCCCCCCAGCCCCTGAACGGCCTGTGCTCTCTCTCCACCCAGACGGCGGAGAACGTGCTCACCATCGCTTATGAGAACGGGGTCAACCTCTTTGACACGGCCGAGGTCTACGCTTCTGGCAAGTATGTCCCCCCATTGCATCCGCAACTCCATTCCTAGAAAGGGGAGCAGTTGGAGGAGAAATTCAACAGGTGCAGCGCCTCTCTTCACTGCATCTCCTTGCTGAGTGGGGGCTGCATCTTTTGAATACTGCCTGTCGTACAGCTGGCAGTACAGGGCTGCCTGGGCTATGTGGGGATGCAGAAGTTGACTTCTGTCCCCGTTCTCCCACTGCATCAGGGTACGAAAACCTCAGTCCGGGGCCAAATCTGGGATTCCCCAGGTGGGCCACACTTCTGTCCCCCAACGGCTGGTCAATGGCTTCCCAGCTTTTGCTCAGTTTCCTCCCGTCCTAAAAAGGCTGAAATTCTTCTAAGGCTTAGTTACTAGGAAAAGGAAATTGATACGAAAGTTTGCCCATTTCTGCCCTGCTCCATTTATCTGGGGTCCTGCTTTCCCCTGGAATGCAGCCCTCTGGCGTGGACCCCGGCTCCCCACGGCTGCATTCCAGCTGCCCCACCAACCCATCGTCCCCAACAGCTGACCCCCACCAGGAGCTCTTACAGGTGTCACTGTCGTCCTTCCTTCCTAAGCCTGGATACCTGCACTTTTCCCATGCACAAAGCCCCTCTTGTCTTCACTACTGCGTGCGCTTTCCCCTGGGCTTTGAGCCCTGCTGGGGATGATCTGCCTGGCTTCACGTCTTCCTCTGCCGTTGCTTCTCTCCTGAGCCCACCGCCCCGGGCCCCTGCTGGCCCACGTTCCCTCTCCCGGGGCTCTTCAGGACGCAGCGATTAAAGCCTCATGACATGATTCTGTCAGGACAGATTGCGGGCTGGCTGGCTTGAGGGAAGGTGGAGCGGGGAGAAGTGAAGATGCTCTCTGTCGCAGTGTGATGCGCGGGGACGGGGGGTGCTGGGCCAAGAGAGCAGGCCTCCAGGGGGAGTGGTGTCCCTGCGGGCCAGGGAGGGCAGGCCGGCTGGTGTGCGGATCTGCGTGCCTGCCAGATATGGGGCTTCTGCCGATCTAGGATGCCGTGTGACGGCAACCCTCAAGCCATGGCAGAGAGACCCCCGAGGGGGCCGAGACAGGGTAGCGGGTCGGGGTGCAAAATGCCCTAATCGCCCCGGGGACCACACGCTGCCTTCCTCGGATGTGGACCGGGGAGTTGTTCCGCATTGCGGGTTGGAGCGCGAACTGCATTTGTCCAAAGTGGCAAAAACACAGGGGAGTGGATTTCTTGTGGGGAAGAGGGGCCGCTTCCTCAGGTCTGTGGGGTGTTAACCCCACCCGGCAGGAGCGTGTGGGTGCAGAAGGGGCTGGAGGAAGAGAAGATCGGGGCCAAATAGCCAGGAAAAGCGAGAAATGTGGCATTTCTCTCCAAAGCTCAGATGCAGACGAGATAAACGCCGTGATTGTTCAGTAACGCCAGAGCTGGTGATAATTAGCTGCCGGGCTTTGCTGTGTTAATTTAATACCTGTCGCAGGAGAGAAAATTTTGCTCTTTGTTGAGTCCTGGACAAAAAGCAGCACCTTCTCATTCCGAAATTTCACACTCAAGTTCTTTTGCCAGAGCAAGGCGAGTTTTCAGGTCAGGAACAGATCAAAATGTTCTCCCGGTAAAAGGCAGAAGGGTGAAAACGACAGCAAAACCAGCCAGTGTCGAGGCCTGTCGGTATCACAAGCCAAGTCAAAAAGTCCCGTTTGACATTGACGGAGCCGAATCCTGTCCCCAGTCAGTTGCGTGTGGTCTTCATTGCTAGAAGATAAGGCAAAATCTTTGCACCCCGCAAGCGAAGGAGCACTTGCTTGGTTCGGGTGCCTGTTGGAAGCTATTTTGCAGTGGGGGTATTCACCCCATTTGACATTTTTCCTTGATCTGAGCCCCACAGCCACAGATCCGGAGTAATCACCGATGAATCCATCAGAGCTGACTTCCGATTTTTTTTTAAATAAGTCTTATCTGAAATTATAATCCTAAAAAAACAAAAAGAAAACTACAAAGAACATCCACCATCAAAAACATCGAGCCCGCTGAGTCAGCCCCCACATCCTTCTTTTTCCATTTATGAAAACTTTAAAAACATATTTAAATCTATGCGAAGTCCCATTTCTCTAGCCAATAATTAAAAAGTCCCAAGTTTGATAGAAATTAGCATCTTCCTTCTCCTTCAATAATAAAGTCAATAGAGCTGACTTCTGCTTAATGCTTTTCCTTGTTTTTCTTCTTCAGAGCAGAAAAAACCTTGGGAAATATCCTGAAGAGCAAAGGATGGAGGTAAACAGCCCACATGCCCCGAGTGGGGTTCAATCCCTACCTTTACTCTGGTTTACTCAGCCTAAGTCGTCTTCGGCTGCGTGACTTTCCATGCTCTCTCTCCTCCGCCTCTGTTTCTCAGGCGTTCCAGCTACGTCGTGACCACAAAAATTTACTGGGGAGGACAGTAAGTACCCCGAGGAAGCAGAGAAATGATGGGGAAGCTGCTTGTTGCGGGAGCTTTGAACTATACGTGTTGGGAACTTAGTTTGTGAGTAGGTGGTGGCAAGGGGAATGCTCTCTGCACAGGAACAGAGGTGCTCTTGCACTGATTGGAGCACTGCACATTCAAGAGCTGAGCCCAGAGTTTGGAAAGGAAAAGAAAGGAAGGGCTGGCCTTTATGTGAAGCTGAACTAATTTTGGGGATTGGACTGTTGGAAAGGGAAGGGGCCTATCAGCGCCTACCAGGCATCATTTGATTATCTGCGATTTGATTTTTAAACAACATAGTGCCTCTTATCCCCGTGATTTCAAGGAGGCTGGGAAAGTGGATTAGAGGCTGTCTACCGCCAAGGGCAGCTCTTGGGACTTTGCCGGCCAGACTTTTCTGACGCTCTTAGGCTTCCTCTCCATTTGGGTTCAGTGGCCACCCATATCCACCTAGGATGCAGGGGAACATGGAACTGGATTGTGCTAGGGAAAGGGGGTCATCCTGACACAGGGAGCAGAGTGGCCCCTCTGCAGTTTGGGGTGTTGTGGGAATGTGTGTGGGGGTGGAAACGGCCGATCCTCGTAACGTCCCCATCTCTCTTCTTGTTCTTTCCTCAAAGGGCTGAGACCGAAAGAGGCTTATCCCGGAAACACATAATTGAGGGTAAGGGTGGGAGAGCAGGAAACAGGGTGCTTGCGGGGGGCGGGCAGTGCAGACTGAGAGGGATGTGTGTGGGGGGGGCGGGGCTGGTGGGAAAAGCTGCCGAGATCATGTCTGGAGAGCTCACAATTTCAGAAGGCCAGGGAATTACCAGTGGGATGGCAAAAGGAAGGTTTGGGGGCAGTGGCCCTGCTGAGCTGTTAAAAGATTCAGGGTCAGCCCCAGAGTATACATATCTCCGTAAACGCTGCAGATGCTGATTTAAATCCCTCTGCGCACATTTAGAAATCATGGCCACGATGCATTTACAATTTCACAGTTCACGGCTCATCCAAATGATTCTTCCGTTCGGTTGCACACACGGCCCGGGATCCACCCCAAACCAAGGGTGAAAGGGTTTCCTAAGCTTCATAGCCCCACAGGAGATGTTTGCAGCATGTGGCTGGGGAGAATTAACCCTTCTCTCCCCAGTTGCAGCCTCCCTTGCCAGTTGCCCCCTTGCAGAACAATTAAGCTGTTGGGGGAGCGGGGATATCCACTGGCCCCAGTGAACACCTCAGGCGAGGAGGAGGAGCTGAGGACCAGCTTTGGGGCTGGAGCCCCATAGACCCAGGCCTGGCCTCCCCCTATTCGGAGGGTGGGGGAGCTGAGACTTTGGGATCATGGTCAATATGATGTTCATTGTTTTAATTTCGGTCTTTCGTATACTCTGGCTGATGGCGTTATATTTTAAGCTTTTGTACGTTTCTTTTCATGTTTTATCTGTCGACGTTTTTAATGTCAGAAGCTGCTGTGAATCCCACTGCACCAGGGTGGGGAAGGCTCTTCTGGGTCCTTTTCTGTGCGCGGTCGAACTTCTGGGGCTGCTCATGGCAGTGCTTTCTCCCCAAGACACACACGCATCTTTCCCTTCCCTTCCCTCTTTCCTTTTCCAGGGCTTAAGGGCTCCCTCCAGCGCCTACAACTGGACTATGTCGACATCGTGTTTGCCAACCGGATGGATGCCAACAGCCCCATGGAAGGTGAGTGGGTCCTTCCAGGCCCCACTGCCCCCCAGCTTCCCCCTCGCCGCTTTGGGGGAAGCAACCGTCCCCCCACCCTGATAGCAAGCCCCCGCTCTGAAGGCTCTGCAGCCCGGCCGGATGAGAAAGGCCCCGGCCCTCCGAAAATCCAGGTTCCACCATTCCTTGGATGTGCCACGTTCCCGACTGTAGCGCTGCCATCACGGCATCCTCCGAGGACAGCTCCGTGAGCCCCGCTTTTCAGGTGCTGGGGGGGTGGGTGGGCCAAGGCTGCAAGAGACTGTGACTTGGCCAAGGGGGCTGTGGCAGATGGGCTCTTATTTGCAGTCCAGTGCTTCTCCAGAATTCCTGCCTCGGCTCACGGGTTCTCTCCTTCCCCTCCTGCAGAATGCGACCCGAATTTCCGATTGCTCTTGCTGGAAGGTATTGCGGATTCCCCCTGCCCCCCCAAGCCCCAAATCCCCCCCCCCCTTTGCCCCCCCCCCCCCCCAATCCTCTGCCCACGAGACCTGGAACGCCATACCTTTCAGGGGTTTAGAACGGAGGGTCAGGCAAAACCCAAGATGCCTCTATGCACACTAAGAGTTGAGGCTGAGCTGTGGACAGGTGCTCAGTTCCCTTTGGAAGGATCGGGATGGGTGGGTGGCTTTATGAAGAAGATTCGCCTGGCATTTTCTGTGTAAGGGAGATTTACCTGTAGGATTTCTGCCTGCCCTGCTGCTCGTATGGGGCTTGGTGGTCAGAAAGGTGGCAGAATAGTTGCAGGGTATGAAGGGCTCTAGTCCAGCCTTTGGCCACTTGATGCCCTCCAGCTGTGTCGAACTACAACTCCCAGCATTCCATGGCTGGAGGATGCTGGGTAGGGCTTTTCAGCAGATGGAGACACTTTCCTTCCTCGCCCCAAAGTTACGTGGCTCTCCGAGGCCGTTTCCTGCTCTGCAAACACTGCCGTCTCAGGGATATGTTGAGCTCTGGCGAAGGCAGCCCTTCCCCGCCTGATGCCCTCTGGGAATGATGGGTGTTGTAGTCTGGGGGAGCCAGGTTAGGCAGGCTTGACGTCGCAATGGTTGAGCATATCCACACGTCTCGGGAGCAGAAAGCAAAGCCCTGTGGCGGTTCTAAGACACGCATGCTCTTGAGAGGCATGCTGAGCCCCTCCCCTCCCCTTCTGAATCCCATCATTTCCCCCCATCACAGTGGCCCTTTGCAGCGATCCTTGTACATCCTTGCCACATCCCATAATTCTTTCCTTCTGTGTTACTGACGAAAAGTGCAGCCCCCTATGTGTGTCCTCAAAAGTAACTCCCACTGCATCCAGTGGGGCTTACTGCCAGGTGACGGTGTCCTTTGGCCCCTAAATCCCCCCCCCCCCCCGTGTCCCCCTGAGTGTCCCAGACTGCCCTGTAGGGGCCCCGCTGTGGATCCTACTAGTGTGGGGCAGGGTGGGCGAGGTGTGGAAAGCCAGGTGCATTTAGGGCTGCCACCTAACCAGAACAAGTCATCCTGGCTGCTCTTCTGCCTTTAACAGCTACCCCATGGGTGCACAGTTCCTTAAGCAAAACAACATGGACAGCAATGTTGTCTGTTTATTTATATTTATTTAGAGTTCCATCGCTTATAGCCTCGGGACGGCTCACATAAATAAATAAACATGGTACAAAATACAATTAAAATCCGGAAACATCCTGGCTGCACAATTAAAACCTACAGATTGCTGCCTGGATCCTGCAAATTGCGCCCCAGTGGAAGGCTCAGGAGCAGAGTCTTGGAAAAAGCGGGAATTCCATGGTGCTGGGGCAGGTGCTGATGGAGCAGGGCCTGAATTTCCAACACACACACATTTTTCCCCAAGTCCTTTAAACTGCCAGTGGAAGGTGCTTTACAGTGCGGGGAAGTGAGGGAAGGCAAAATGCCATAAAGGTTCTCGTGTTGGGAAGTTGCTTTCGAGAAGTGCTTCATTTAGACCTGGCTGGATCCATTTCTTGGCTCTGAACGAAGGAGAACAATCAACAAAAACAGTTAAGAAGGGAAAACTCCGGCTACCCAGGAAATATAATTGGTGGACGACAGCGGCTGGCGCACTGAGCCAGTGACCTGGAGGAGGGGGTCTTCCTTCCCCGGGGGCCTCAAGCCCAGGTTCCACGGCTGGGGGAGGGCTCGGCCCCCTCCAACGGCATGGTTTCCACCTCGTTGAGATTGCTTTGACCTTGCCAGCCCCTGCTTTGGGTCCCTTGAGGCTTTTTAGAGAAAGCAAATGCCTGGAAGACATTTAGCGCTGTTTAAAAGGTGCAGATATGCCCACGCTAACTTACAGCTGCTCCAGGGTCTTGTCTGTGTTGTCACCAAGGGGCATGTCCCCCTGAGGACACCCCTATGGGCGGGGGGAGGTGTATGGGCAGGGGAGCAGGGGACATCAGGCGGGCCAACGCCAGTTTGTTCAGGGGCTCACATGCGACACGAATCCTCGGGGACCCTGCACCTTTCTTTCAGGGTGGTGGGCAGTTGAGTCCCAGAGGCAGTGAGCCACCCAGCACGACCTCTGTATGAAGGAAAGGGAGGAGAGCGGGGCCGGTCCCTGCAGGACTAACCGTTCCTTGTAGAAACCTGTATTGTCTGACGCCGGCCTGACTGTGCCGCTCCTCGGCCAAAGAACAGCTCTTGGGCTGGCTGAAATATAAGTTAAGCAAGGCAGTCCCAGCTTGCAACAGAAAATTCCACAACGCATGAAGAAAGAGGGATGAGGAGGGCAGAGGGAAAAAACCCTTTAGTAAGGCATGTGTCTGCCTCTGAGCTCCTTCCACGCCGCCTGCCGCAGCAACTTCTGGCGGCACTTCTGGTGTACATGATGCAGCTCTGGAGCAATCCCTGGAGTGTAACTCCCACCTCCTCCTCCTCCTCGGCAGGGATTCAGGCCTGATCAGGGTTCAGCGTCCGAAAGAGATGTCTGGGCAGTGTCAAGCTGCCTCTCCTCCCCGTTGCAATGGCTCCGAGGGCCGCAGGTCTTTAAACGAGCGGCGAGGCTCTTGAGGACAGGAAAAGACCCCTGCCCTGTCGTCGCTCACTGTCCCCTTCTCGCCCGCAGAGATCGTGCGCGCCATGACGTACGTGATCAACCAGGGCATGGCCATGTACTGGGGTACCTCCCGCTGGAGCGCGATGGAGATTATGGTGAGCTTTAGGGCAGCCCGTCCCACACGAGTTGAACCCCGTGAGGCTCCCTCCTTCGCCTGAACGCTCTCCGTTTCTGTCTCCTCCCCTCGACTCAGGAGGCTTACTCGGTGGCCCGGCAGTTCAACCTGATTCCTCCCGTGTGTGAACAGGCAGAGTACCACATGTTCCAGCGGGAGAAGGTGGAGACGCAGCTGCCAGAACTCTACCACAAGATAGGTACGAGCGCAGAGGGATCAGGGCCCCCTGACTGGGGGATGCTGGGAGGTGTAGTCACAAGGCACCTGGTGGGCTGCAGGTTGGGGCGGGCTGATAGGCAGCCCTCTAGGAGGAGGAGAACATGGAAGGGAGATGCACGGGGTAAGCATGGATCCCCAGCCGGGCTTGGCTCTCAGTGGGGTTTGGAAGCACTGCCCTGTGAGGAGAGACGGAGAGAACTGGGCATGTTCGGCCTTGAGGAGAGAAGACTGAGGGGGGACACGGTACCCCTCTAGAAGTACCTCAAAGGCTGCCACAGAGAGGAAGGTCAAGATCTCTTCTTGCTGCTGCTGCCAGGGGGTAGGACGCGGAATAACCAGGTCAAGTTACGACAACCCAGATTCAGGCTGGGCGTCAGGAAGAGCTTCCTCAGTGTCAGAGCAATACGACAGTGGGTCCAGCCGCCTGGAGAGGTGGGGGGCTCTCCCACACTGGAGGCATTCAAGAAGAACCTGGTCAGCCCTCTGAGTGGGATGGTGTGACTTGGTGTCCTGCGACAGCAGGGGGTGGACTTGATGGCCTTCATGGCCCCTTCCAGCTCTAGTATCCTGATTCTACGATGCTGTATGGGAAGCCCCTGGGGAGAAATGTATGGTGGATGAAACAAAGATCAGCCTTCATCACGCTTCTGTGCCACTTCTCCTCTGCAGAGCTGGGGTTGGTTTTACAAGGTGCCCTCTCTCCCCCACACCCCCCCCCCCATTTTATGATCACCACAGCCCTGTGAAGCAGGTCAAGCTGATTGTAAATGGCAGCCAAAAGGCCCCCCAGAGGATGCTTGACCACGCAGCTCCTTGCGGCACGGGCGGCTGCACCGAACGGGGTCCTTGAACATCCAAGACAAAACCTAAACCAGGGAGTTTTTGAGCCTCTGTGAGTTAGGATGACAGTGTATTGTCTGTCTATATGGGGGATTCTGTGCGTAGCGACCTTTCCCTAGTAGGGCGCTGTCCAGACACTGGATTGCAACTCCCATCATCCCCAGCCAGCCAGGCCACTGTAGCCCAGAACATCTAGAGGGGGCCGTGTTGGAGTGTGGGCGGGGGACAGCAGTGTCCATTTCTTCTCACCTGCCTGCCTTGTCCACCTGTCGTTTAGGGGTCGGAGCCATTACCTGGTCGCCACTGGCATGTGGTCTGATCACGGGGAAGTACGAGGAGCGGGTGCCCGAAAACTGTCGTGCTGCCATGAAGGTACGTGCGCCCCCCCCCCCCCCCCCCGCCCCCCCCGCGGGGGCCCCCCCCCCCCCCCCCCCCCCGGCTGGCCTTTCGGTGAGGCCACTCTCTCCGTCTCACCCAAGCCGCCCCTAAGAGGGAAACCTCACACAAGTGCCTCAAATGAGCCTTTGCCAAGCAAGCGGCCTCCAGAGGTGCTGGGCTGCAGCACCCATGCTCCCCAGCCGTCCAGAGGGCACCTGCTTGGCTAAGGCTGCTGTAAATGGACAGCGATCCCACAGCTACTGGGGCACTGGATTTCTGGCCTTCCACCGGCAAGCTCCCCTTGAACCTTCCCCCTGGTCCCACCTGAAGGAGCAGGTACTCCAGTCCGCCTGAAAAACCACACCCCTCACCATCCCATAATCATGGCTCCAGAGCTGGCTGTGCTTAGTTCGTGGCAAGTGAGACGCATCCTGCTCACACTCATGGCTCTCTTCTCATGGTTATTCATTTTAGTTTATTTATTTATTTTTCGATTCACATCCTGCCTTTTTCCTACAAAGGGCTCAAGGCAGCTTACATGATTCTCCTCCTCCATCTTATCCCCACAACAACAACCCTGCGAGGTAGGTTGGGCTGAGAGGCTGTGACTGGCCCAAAGTCACCCAGTTGGCTCCATGGCTGAGCGGGGACTCGAACCCAGATCGTCTGAGTCCCAGTCCCAGCTCTGAACCACTACACCACACTGGTTACCACTTTGCATGTTCCAGGACCAGGTGCTCCAAACTAGCAAGTTCGTTCCGGGGCTCCTCTCGCACGCCTCCAGCCGGCATCTCCCTTGCTCATCCCAAGCAAAAATGCCTTGTTGTGGAGGGGGCCCTTCTGAGATCTCTGCTCCCCGGAACCTGTCCATGTTCCCAGCCGCCTGCTGATATTTGCCCCGTTGCCCCAGCTTGCCATGCGATGTGGCTTCCCCACACGTCTCTCTCGCCCCCACGACCAGGGCTACCAGTGGCTGAAGGAGAAGCTGCAGAGCGAAGAGGGCAAGAAGCAACAGGCGAAAGTCAAGGAGCTCCATCCGATTGCGGAGCGCCTCGGATGCACTGTGGCCCAGCTGGCCATCGGTAAGGGGAAGGGGGCGTCTTTTGGGGGGCCTGGCTGTGTTCCGTGTGCCGCTTGAGAGGTGGAAGGTCGCGCACTACACTAGTCCTGGTCGAGGGAATCGAGGTCCTTGGGCCGAAGATACGGATGTGCATTCGGGCAGTGGCAGCCGCAAACTGGACGTTAGTGAGCGTAGGCTGGTTGGAGGAAGGACCTGGTGACCAGCGGTGTGTGAGACCTTCTAAGAATATTCTCCCTTGAAGAATTACGAGAGCAAAGAACTTGTCTGTGTCTGGGAAAGGTTTTTAATTGCCCAAAGCGCTTTGTTTCCCCCATGCTTTGGCCATGACCCGTTTGCATCGGAACAGGTTTCTTATCAAAAGGAAGTAGGAGCTAGTTCTGCAGGCGCTCATGTAAAGAAGCCATTATGCTATACAGAGGTTGGGATTTTTCTTCTGGCCAACACGATTCTCCCATCTCCCTTCTCCTCTATCCACCTTCCGCTTTCTGCTCCCCACCCGAAGCGTGGTGTCTCCGCTCGGAAGGTGTCAGCTCAGTCCTCCTTGGCGTCTCCAGTGCAGAGCAGCTCATTGAGAATTTGGGATCCATTCAGGTGAGTAAGATTTTTGAATGATGTGGGGGCACGTGGCCGTTTGCAGGTGGCTCAGAGCTGGGCGGGAGGGCTGATGCCTTGGCAGACAGAAACCAAATTTGAAATGTGAAGTTAGAAAGAGGGGCTGGGAAAATGAAATCCAACCCAAGGGCAATAGCTCTCCAGCCAGAAAGAGAGGTCAGCTGCGCAGGTGCCAGGTGTGGGTGCCGGGCTGGCCAGGTGCCAGTGAAAAGGGGCACGGGGAGATGGGGGGGTCACGAGAGGAATATGAGCCCCCGCAGGGCATGGCTGCAAAGCGGGAGCTGTGGGTTTTGGCTCCCGGAGACCTACCCTGTCCAAAGCCCCCTCCGCTTCCCCTCGGATCCTGTGGCCGGTTCTGGATCCCGCCCGGTGCGCTCTCAAGTTTCAGATGAGCTGGAAGGAGTTCGGGGAAGGGCAGCAGGGAGGATCGGAGCCTAGAAGCAAAGTCCTGTGGGGAAGGAGGGGAACAACGTGGGCATGCTTAGGCCCAGCGAGAGGAGATGGAGGCAGGTGATGCTGGCGCTTCCTGAGGGCCACCCCGCAGAATAGGGAAGGCGCTGCTTCTCCCGCCCTGGGCAGGCGTTTAGGGGAGCATCGGGGAGACTTCCCAGCGCTCAGAGCAGAGCCGCCGGGCTTCCCGTCGCCGGAGGCTTTCCGGCAGAGTCAGCGCGACCATTGGTCGGGTGCTTCGCGCGGTCCCTGTGCTGGGCTGGGGTTGACGTGGCGGCCTCCACGGATGGTGGCAGCATCGCGGTTCTGTGGCCCAGAGACTCTGGGGCTGGCAAGAGTCGAGGGAGCACGTGAAGCTCCGTGGGAAGTTGGGTGGAACTGGCTTCTTTCAGAATGTGCGTGATTAAGGGGCGCCTGAGCAGCCGGGACGGGGCAGAGGCAGGGGTGAAGTGGCCCCGGGAGGATGGGGGGCCAGCCCAACAGAGGGGATGTGCTCTCTCTCCCCCTTGCAGGTCCTCACCCAGCTGACACCCCAGGTGGCCCAGGAGATCGACGCGCTGCTGGGGAACAAGCCCAATACCAAAAAGGAGTCCCGGGCGTAGGGACGCGTGGCGCCCGGGACTGTGCACGCTGTGTCCCAAACAGACTGCGTTTCCTCTCGCTCCTCCGCGGGGCTCCGTCCCCGCCCGCTGCCCCCCACGTTCGCCCTCCCGCCAGCCGCTGCCGGAGCCGCTTTGCGCATGAACCAAATATCCGTACGCTTCCATGGTGGGTGAGGCGGGGCGGGGCGGGGGTTGTGCTCGCCCAGGCCGCGGCTGCTGCTGCTCCAATGGCGGCTCTGGCACACGGCATGCGCCGCTCCGCGAAGAGACGGGCAGGTGGGGGGCCCCACCGCCTGCTGGGGCCGGGAGCAAGGCCCGCTCGCCTCCTTCCCCGTCCGTACGCCCGCTCGCCTCTTCTCTTGAGGCAGGGCAGGGCCCCCTCTCGGCCGGGGGAAGGGGGCAGCCAGAGAACAGGCACGCGGCTGGGGCGTGAGGACAGCCGCCCCCGACCCACTCGCAGGCCTGTCCGGTCTGCAACGCATGGCTCCAGCCGCCAGTCCCGATCCCGCCCCCCCGATGGCTTTGTGCTTTCTCCGCTCTCGGAGGGGCCACAGCAGAGCTGTGCGGGCGCCATCCCGTGATGCCCCATGGCAGTGCGCGGGAGGGGCGCCATGCTGGGTTTCATGCCGGAGGCATCAGACGTCCCGCCAGCCTTGCAAAAGGCCTCGGGCAGGACTAGGGGGGCTTCCCACACACTGCGAGGCATGGCGGGGGGGACGGACCCTGCACGTTCTTTTTTCCGGCCGGGGCAACGAACAGCCCTGGCAGGCCCACTTTCCCCAAATACAACCACTCCCACATCCATATTAGTGTCATGGCTCTCTCAGGCGAGGCATTTCTCTAATATGGATTATGAATTTGTTTTTCTCATGGGGAAGAAGGTTAGACTTGCTTTTGGTTAACTTTTCCAGAATTCCTTTGGCTGAAAGGTTTGCTTCCTTCTCTCTTCTGCCAGTCTCCTGTTCCACCGTCAGCCCCCACGCCCCCACAAAATCACCCCTTTAGCACCGCTTCCTTATCCATCCCTAAATGCACATCCCTCGAGCAAAATAACAGCAATAATAAATTGGACCCTCCCTTTATGCACATGGGGGTTGGGTGGGCAAACTGGCCATTGCAGACACACGTTTAAGGGGAGGCGGGGGGGGGGGCAGCCAGAGTCTGCGCCTCACTCGGCCAAGCACTGCTTCCTACATCTGGGAGGGCAGGCCACCATGCCTGGATTGTGCCCCGCATATTGGGGTCAGAGGCCAGAGCAGTTCTCTAGGTTGTCCTCACAGCTGGGGAACAGGCTGGGATGGGATGTGTTGCCCCCGGTTTGCGGATTCCTGCCGTGCAGGAATGGCCGACGTCCTTCTCGCAAGCTTAGAGCAGCCTTTCCTACCTTGGCAGCCTTTAGACAGGTTGGCCCGCAACTCCCATCATCCGCACCCAGGTTGGCCCTGCTGAGTGAGGATTATGGCAACTGCAGTCCGGCATTTCTGGAAGGCCACCCATTTGGAGAAGGTGGGCTTTGCAAGAGGGGGTTTTGTATTGGTTTGCTGATAGATTCATTCAGAGTTTTTCTACACCGTTATTCCTTAACAAGCTCATGACGGTTTACAGTTTTCTCGGGTTTACTTTCCCCTAAATATTAATTTGCTTTTGTCTGCACCAGAGCTGGTGTAAAGCAATACTGCCCCCCAGCAGTCACCCTTTCTTCCCTCTCACTGAATGGGCAAGGAAGCCGAATGGCAACAGCTCCTCCCTGGCAGATGGCAGAGACAGAAAACCTTTCCCCCCTCCTCTCGGCTCGCCTCTGTGGCTCGCTTTCTCCTTCATTCCCTCTATAGGCGCCAGCGCCACCAGCCGCGGGCAGCGGCCATGGCCCCCTCTCCGTGCTGGCTTAAAATTCTGCTTTGATGCGGCATTCTGACGGCATGCCCTTCCTCATCCAGGGAAAGAGCCATCTCTTCTTGAAGCAATAATAAAAAGCCCCCGAAGGTGACGGGTAACCCGGGGGCAGTGGGGGGAGCAGAAAGGGAGCCGGCAATGCCCTGGCCCTGCCCTTGGGTGCCCGCCCTCCCTTTTGCACAATGCATCGCTTTGGATCTGCTGCGCTTCCAGGACGGGCCGCAAGTACGCCTGCTCCCCTGCACTGGCCACAAAAACAGCATGAGGCTGTATTTTTCCGGTAGCGGATGAGCCTGTGGCAAGGTTTACACTCAAGTTGCACTTCTGTCGCTTTTCGGGGTCTCTGCAGGAGGGGATCTCTTTGTGGTACATGCAGAGTGGGTGCAAGTTTGCAAGGTGGAACTTCTCCCTGGCGTATGCATGACTTTTTCAGGCATTTGCAACATTTTTACCCCACTCTTGAGCCAAAAAAGGCTCCAAGAGTGACTTAAGAGAGCTGAATAATAGAACAGTTCTTGTACTCAGGTGTAAAAATCTAAAAAGTTGTGACAAAAAAGAAAAGGTGTTGGGAGGGAAGAGGAAACTAGCACGTGCCAGTTCTTAGTTTAATAATAATAATAATAATAATAATAATAATAATAATAATAAAAAATCATCCAAGCTCTTCTCCAACCAGAGCTGCCACTTCAGCTCTCCTGTACAATAACCCTCATCCTGATTTTTCTAGATGTGTTGGACTACAACTCCCAGCATGCCCTAGTCAGCCATTACTGGCTGGAGCATGCTGGGAAATACTCTACCGTTTTTGCAAGCAGTTTGCATACAAGGCTCCCAGCCCTGTTTGTTTACAATGGGAATTGGCCCCCACCAGCCAAGAATGTAGCTACCTCTTTGGGTCCATAGGCACAAAAGATATGAGCAGAAATCCAACAGGTGCTTCGTTGTTTCCACGTGGAGACCTCTGTGGCCCCAAAAGCTGCTCCTGTGGAATTTCCTCCCGTTGCAGGCAGGGGGCACCCAGTCCATGAAATGTGACGCCAATGGTGGAATTTTTTGTGAATTCCCAGTACAGTCTTTAAAATGAGTCTGTTTACGTTTACATCCCGTGCCCCCTGGAAAGCACAGGAGGAATCATCTTAAAATTACACAGGAAATCTGAAAGGACTGAATAAATCATTTTTTAAAAAAAGATCCTTCCTGCCTAAATGCACAACTGAAACCGATTTGCTGACTACACAATCTTAAACATCTCCAGGCAGGAATAAAAAGCTTACAGCTCCCAGCAGGCCTCATGGCTGGAGCATGTTGGGAGCTGTTAAAGTCTTTTATTCCTGCCCAAACGTGTCCCACTGTATACCAGCCTGCTTTGTGAAACTGGCAGAGCTCGAGCTGGATTCCGGGGTCCTTCCTCGAACTAGGCCTAAAGGTTTTCTCTCTGCCGCGATTAGTACAGCATGTCCAGCCACTCTGCTTGAAACTCTTGCAAACCCACAAGGGAAACGGAGGCACGGTTTCTCCCAGTGGGGCTCGGCACCCTCAGGAACAGGAAAGCCTCTGGAGGTAGAAAAGAGCAGTGCAGTCCGAGGGGGAATGGCGCCCTCTCGAGGACAGTGGCGGAACTGCCGGCCTGCGCACTGCACCCCAACACCCACCCAAAAAAGGATGGACTACTTCAAGCAAGCGCCCCTCTGGGTCAAGCACTTACCTCCTGCAGAGATCGGCCCGAAAGAAGAGAGAGACCGGAATGTTGGAGATACGTAGAACGGGCATATTTAGGGGTGTTTTTCCCCTTTTTTGTGGGGGGGAAAGATATTTGCAATGCTGAAATAAACAAGACCAAGCAACCAAATGGAGATGGCCTTGGGTAGTGTTTTTGCTACTTTGGGGTCCTTCCTGGGGGGAAGCTTCCTGCTGAGCTGCGCTAGGCAGGGATCGAAGGGGGAACAATCTCAGCAGCCAGAAAGACAGTTCTTTCCCACAAATCTGTACAAATAAGGGGGATGAATTTGGGGTTTCTTTCTTAGGGGGTTCTGTGCTTGTGTCTTCTTGCCTCCTCTGGGACAAAAGAGATGCAACTCAAACGGGCTGGCCATATCCGTCTTCTGCCTATTTAAAATTAATTTTAGGCTACCTCCAAGGACAGAGCAAGATAAACCCATACAAACTGGATACAATATAAATCAGTAAGTTAAAAATAAAACCCCCTCCATTTCTAAAAAAAGGAACAGTGCCACCACAACATTTGCAAGGGTGGAATGTGGCATCCTGCAATCTGCCACAGCATTTTTCAGGCTGGCTCGGTGACAAAGCACAATTGCTTTAGGAGCATCGACTCTCGATAACGCACAAGCCTGCAGCGGCAATGCTTAGTATATTTTTAGGGGAAATAGACTTCACTGATCATTTCCGGTATATTTCTGAGGAGGCAACGCAGCCAGCACAACGCCCAGCAGAGCTCACAGTACCTCGCCCTGGGGTGCTCTGGCCATTGGAAAAAGGACACTCTGTCCATGCTCAGGGCTAAGGTTGTGTTAAGAGAGAAAGAAGAGCTGGAATAATTTCTTCTTCAAAAACTCCCAGTTTGTCAAAGAAGCTAAGCAGAAGCCAATCAAACTAGAACTTACAAAGCATGGTTTAATGCTCACTGAAAAGGTCTTTCGATCTAGAACTCCAAGGAAATGAATTCAAACTGAGACACTGCAGTTGTCTCACACAACTGTGCCCACACAAGACTCCACAAAACACATTCATCGCCTAATGTGAGAGCCGTTGCTAAGGTAGCAGCATATGCAGCGACAGCCAGATTATTTGCCCACGTGCTCTGAAAAAGGCTCTGGCGGATCACACCTCACCTGCTTCCTGAGGACCTTGAGGTGGAGATGCTCAGGGCCAAATTAGGTCTATCCTGCTCCAGAATCTCCATTCTGCCTCTCGAACCTGTGTGATGCAGGCCACGTACACAACTTTGCAGGCCCCGGCCATGATTCTGACATACATGCTTTAAAATCCTGTTGTGCGAGGCCCAGGAAGCCGTCCCGAGTTTGTCCGATCATTGGCCGCAATGTGGTGTCGAGCCCCTTTCTGCCCAAGGGCAACCTTGAATTGAT